GCCTTGATATGAAAGAAGAGTTGTTCCTTCTTACTAACATATATAAGAACTGGCCTTCTCGTTCACGTTGTTTAGGTTTAGTTCTGATTACAATAATATCCCTAGTAGGCAAGGTTTTTTGCGGGGGGTGGGGGGAGAGGGAAGTTGCTCGCTTGCTCCAGTGTCAGCCTGCTCCCCCTTCAAAGTCAGTTTTCCATCCAGGATCAACTTTCTGCCAATCTTGTGATTTCTTTTGTGAGCAGTTTCCATTCAGCGCTCTGTAGAAATGTGTCAAAAGTTCTCGAGTGACTTGTGTTACAAGGGAAACAATCTCTCCACGTAGGTAGGCCCTTAGCTCATTCAAGGTTGGCGTGACGCTTCATTTCCTATTTCAAAAATTTCAATCAGCTCTACCTTTATATTTTTGTCCGTCTGTTTTAGACCTATGTTCAACGCCACAAAGCATTAGTTTTATCAAATAAGAGGAGCTGAAAAAAGCTTGAAACGTTTTCCAGTCGCCAGTTAAAAGCGATAAATACAAACCTTGATCTGAGAGTCTCAAATAACTGATACTTATAGAACTTAAAATCTGTTGAAACTGGTTTTCTCCTCTCCCAAAGGCTCTCGAGGATAGCATGGTAAAGAACGTCCCCTCCCCGGTCTTCACACGTGCGCTTGCATGCTCTCCCCTGTAACAATCAAAGCCGCTCCCAGCTTTTCAGACACTTCATACTTGAAGGGGGTATTCAATTTCCTCCCTCCTTCCCCCTTCCTCAGAAAAAAAGGAAAACGAGCCCTGTGGAATATAAAGCTATCTGTTTATCTGGTTATAAAGAAATTTCCCATGATTTAAAATACGGGCACTTTTAACATTGTTAATTTGGACGTATGGTTGCGTTTTTACATATTATGACATTACTAATTTGCATTCCCAAAACGTCAGCCGAGCCACCAAAAATGACTCAAAAGTAATCAATCGAGGCAAAAAAAATGCAACGCTAAAATGTAAAATAACTATATTGATCATAGATAGGCTTTGCTATTTAAAACAAGAAAATTCCGCATTTGGAAAAACACGCTGGTCAAAAGTATCTTACTAAATTGTTATTAGGTAAATCTCAGTTAAATTTGCAAAGCTTGGCTGCTTTAATTTAACTAAAGTTTTGACAAATGTATTAACGATTAAAGTCAGTGGGGACACTTATGCCCTACCTCCAGCTCCCTGAGATTCTAAGAGCGGTTAAAGGAGGGTATTTGAAAATATCAATGTCATGATAATTTGCAGCTCTCCTTTTGGAGCTAAAAAAAGTCAAAACTGATTACGAAAGCCCGTTCGGAAACCTGCATTTTCGCAAAGCTATTTATCTAAAAAAACATTAACGTAAAATACTGTATAAACTGGAAATGATCACATGAACAAAATACCATACGGTAGCAAGTTAACCAAAGAAACGTAAAATCCTGCCAAAAAAGGGCTAAAGATATTAAAGAACAGGTTTTCCTTCAGTGTTCAGTGTTCCGGTCGTAGGCGCAAAAACTACAACTTTAAACGCCTGTAGAAACGCGGGAATTTTATCAACTTTTTCGCTGAAGTAATTAGAAAAACTAGTAGATTTCATTAAAGGTAAAATAGAATGGGGGGTTTGTTGCGTTTTAAGAACATTACTGCGGATTGACAATCCATTCCACGGCTCTCTCAAATCCCGTCATCATGGTAACCCTGCAGCAGATCTGCGTCTACTTGGCCAGAGATACTCGATTTTGGCAGGGAAGTTCACGTGCAACCAAACCATTGCAGTTAGCCACTGACCTCCATGTGCGCCATCGATTCACTTTATCCGGAATCTCGCGATCCGTTACAAGAATAGGAGCGCGAAGAAACTGCATAAACTCTTTGTTGTTGTCGTGATACTGCATAAAGCCCTCTTTTTTGTTGGAATAGGCAATTAATTGCGGGAGTTTGGATGTCTTGTAGCACTTGTTGACGGAAGCCTTTTGTCGTTTCTAAGGAACGAAGTAGTTCTTTTTGAAACAGAGAAATATGATCAGACGAGTTTTGAAATTCCGTAATGATAACAGCAGAATGGTTAGCTCTGTTCAACAGTGGCTCGCACATGTCCAAGTTGCGAGTAAGTGGCTCATAATCAGCTATGTTTGAGGTGGTGACGCGATCAAACTTACGGTCTGGAGAAAGGAATGGAGCCATCTCCTTGCAGCTGCCGCAACAGGAAGTGAAATTTCACCCGTCCTGTGGCCAATGTCGGAACGGACTTCCCGAGCAAGTGACCCATATTCTGGCTGTACATCGGGAGAAGAGAGGCGCAATGAAAATGTTGTTTAATGTCTTTGCAGTCCCTTGATACAAATAGAATCATATATTATTGGGCACAGTTCAAACATCGTATGGGCATCTTATGCTTCCAGTAATTGTTCGTTGTCTTGTGAGGCATATCAGCATCAACCAATTTGATGATGATGATGACCAGGATGATGATGATGTTGAAAACGCCTGTATAACAAAAGTATACAAGCTAACAGAAATTTCACTGTACTCCTTTTGTGAAGTTTTGAAACATAAGGAGCATTACTGTGGATTGACAATCCATTCTACGACTCGGCTGAACCCACTCAACATGGTGACTCTGCGGCAGTTGTTCGTCCACTTGAACGGAAGAAATCGATTTTGGTTGCGAAGGAAGTCGCGCGCAACCAAGCCATTATAGTCAGCCACTGACTTCCATATGCGCGGTCGATTCACTTTATCCGGGATCTCATGATCACTAACAAGCAGAGCAGCGCGAAGAAACTGGATGAATTCCTCGCTGAGGTCGTAGTAATCCATAAACGCTACCCTCCCCTGGGAAAAGGCAATGGCGCGATTTTGGGTGTCTTCCAGGACTTTTTGGCGAAAGCTTTCAGGCAGTTGTGAGAAATGACGTATCAATTTTTCATTTAAGCCTGTAGGCTCATGCCAGTTTTGAAATTCTGTGATGATAACAGCTGAAGTGTTGGCTGTGTTCAACAATGGTTTACACATGTCCAAGATGCTGGTAAGTGGCTCGTAATCAGCTATGTTTGAAGTGGTGACACGGTCATACTTCCGGTGTAGGGGAAGAAATGGAACCATCTCCATACAGTTGCACAACAGGAAGTGAAACTTTACCTGTGTTGTGGACAGTGTCACAACGCACCTCTCGAGCAAGTGTCCCACATACTGACTGTACATCTTGAGAACGGAGGCGCAATGAAAATGTTGTTTAACGTCTTTGTAATCCCATGATATAAATGGAATTAGAGAAGGATCCAGTATGTAACTGAATCGGTAAGGACCACCAATTTTATTCAAAAAAGCGGCAGGAAAGCCAGTTAGAGTAACATTCTCACGAGTGAGCTCTTTTCGCGATGCCTTGGGTAACAGAATGCCGTTCGCAAACCAGTCAGAGGCAGATTCTTTATGCTCCTTTGGGATTTGGTTCAAGTACAATTTGATTCCTTCCTCTGAACCCGAATGATTCTCAACTTTTCTTCGCCGCTCCTCTGTAATCCAGTCTCCCTCTCGAGAACTAAGGTGAAACCATGTACGCCACACTTGCACGAGTGTGCGAAGATGGTCTTGCTCCATCGTCATTGTGCCTCCTGTCAATTCTTCAAGGCTGGATGCATGGATTAGTTCTTGAAGGGTGCGCATCACAAGCTTGAAGTCCTCTTCACTGAGTCGCAGTGAATACCAAATTTGCGTCACAGAGTTTGCTACCTGCTCTCCTCCTGTAAGGTGAAAATGAATCAGTTTTAAGTGCTCTATGTAGGTGAACGTCTTATAACTATGTTATGTGTAAAGAAGACAAAAAATATATATTTATATACATGCAAGTAATGATGGTAGGCCATTCCGCCCGATGTATAAGCTATGCTATTGAAGACGAACAGGACCTAACGTCCTTGTAGATCGTCAGGAAGATTGTGAGAGTAACCGTGAGACCATTTGGATAAGGCGCGAGGTGTTTCGTTTCATGATGAATGGATGTTCTTGGAGAGGGGAAGCCTTGGAGTGGGATATTAATTTAGAAAACAACTGTATTCATTTCAATTGGTGTTTTGGCTGCCTTATTAGAGGTTTTCGAACTGATTTAGATTCTCTTGCAGCTAACTGCAGTCTGACTAGGCATTGTTAACCCTTCCTCTCTCGAAAGCACCCTAGCTAGTTCAAACGTTCAAAGGTGAAGATGTACCATCATTTAATTTTGTACAAATGATGAAAAAAAATTGTTATTACACTAAATTAATCGACTTGACAGCTATTATTTGAACAATCAAATGCACACTACTTTGTCATTAATAGAATTTCAAGTTAGAACTATCCTGTACAATTTGATGTTCTTAAAACAAATATTTGCCCGAGAAGCGAGGTTTCGAGGGAAAATATGCTAGTTTTAAGAACATCAAATTTCCAAGGGGCAACTATCAGACTAATAGTTCCGAGACATAAACACTCTATTGTCTTCATTGTTCACCACTTAATAATACACATGAAAAAATTACTCGATTCTGATTGGCTAAGAGCAGTGCAGTTCAAGTGTAACACCAGTGCAAAAAGTGTAACATCAGTGCAAAAAGTGTAACACCAGTGCAAATTACACATCGAAATTCTGGATTATGATTGACTGTAAGAAAATGGCAACTTTTCTAAGAAAATGATATCATGTAAAATGATGATGAAAATTTTGTGCTGAAACTTTGAAAAAAGTTTTCTCAAATGAGAAAAAATGGCTTCAA